CAGGGAAAAAAGAGACAGAGATTCAACTTTTTGGTCTTTATAAGCACAATGATGCTTTATTTTACAATAAACACTATCATAACTCGTATCATCCTAGCATAGTTCTTAAACTACAACAGGTACTCAATCAATGTTAGTTAACTGTTTCACTTAACTTCCCAATTCTACCAAAATATTTAAGTCAAGAAATAACAGTACTTAAAGTTACTTAACAACTCATTTTAACGTCCATTTATCATGGTACATATATTTTTCCTTACAAAATTACAAATGTCAAATATACATATACTGATTTGATTTTCAAATACTTGTTCTAAAACATTAAATTCACGTGACATGGTCCTATCAACACACCACACATAATAATGGTACCCTGTAGTCTTCAAGAGTCTTAGAAAATAAAATCTCTACCCTGTTTCACTTACGACCCTTTCAATCAATCTATTTTTTTAAACCTACAATAAAAAATACTAATAAATAGTAAGTTATCCAAAAGATACAAAGCTACCAGCTTACTTATTTGATCTTTAATTAGCTCTTCGACAGAAATCTTTTGTCTCTCTGAAGATTCCTTTCACAGGCATTTTTCTGAGATCACACCAATCTTTTAACTTTAATCGCAGCCTGAGACAGACTCCAGCAATTTACATCTTTCAAATTTCTATTCGCACCTCAACCAGCCTTAAGACTTCTCTACTATTAAATTTTTAACAAGGACATCATTACGCATCTATAAACTGTAATCAAATGGCTTTATAATTAAATGTTGTGTTCACACTGAAGACAAACATAGATTGCAGGATTAGGGTTGTTATTGTTGTTGTTAAGTACCCTGGAGTCGCTTCAGACTCATAGTGACCTTGCACAGAGTTTCTTTGGCTGTAAATCTTAACAGGAGCAGAAAGCCTCATCTTTCTCCTGCGGAACAGCTAGCCTCATCTTTCTCCTGCGGAACAGCTGGTAGTTTTGAACCGCTGACCTTAAGGTTCACAGTCTGATTCGTAACCACTACACTACCAGAGCTCCTTGTTAGTAGTCACTGAATATTAAGGGTACTCATATGAACAAAACATGTTCATTAAAAAGCTCTAAAATGTTTCCCAAAATACAAACATCCCTTTCTCCACCCACTAATTTTAAGAGGCATATGATATTCTAAGGAGTCCTGGTATAGTGCTGTAGGATAATAATTTGACTACTAAACACAAGATTGGCAGTTGAAACCCACCAGCTGCTTCTTTAAAACCCATACAGGGTTGCTTTGAGTAGGAACCGACTAGACAACACTGAACCAGAAGATAGTCTACGGAACTTGGATTTACTCTGAAAATAAACTAAGAACCTCCTCCTGAGTCATTTGAGGTGTTAAATCCTGCTGAAGGTGAGCCTAGAACATCTTTCATACACTGGATTTCCAGGGTATACTTTTCAATCTATTAAACAATGCTTAATCTACACAGAATTCTAAGTAACTTTAAATTCAATACTCCATTCTAAAGTGCTAAACTAATGATTCCTTGTTATTTTCAGTCTTAACAAGTATTGCTTTTGTCTCTCAGATTTCAATACTTAAAAACAATCATGTTGTTGTTAAGTGCCATGGAGTCAGTTCTGACTCAAAGTGACCTTGTAATAGGGTTTCCCAGGAGCAGCTGGTGGGTTTGAACTGCTGACCATGTAGTAGTTCACAGTCCAGTGCTGATCCTATGGTGCCACACCAGGAGTCCAAAAACAATCACTATTATTGTTGTTAAGTGCCATCAAGTGGGTTCCAACTCATAGCAACACTGTATAAGGTTTCCAAGGAGTAGATGGTGAGTTTGAACTGCTGACTTTGCAGTTCAAACCAACCTTGCTGTTGAGTGCTTACTCTACAGCGCTGCACCAGAACTAAATAAAAAGTTCAATCCAATGAGCCAAATACATATACAAGGGAATAAGATAACTTTTAAACTGTTGGTTACTGGTGGCACTATAGGAAAACTCCTGGGCTGCTAACTTCAAGGTTGACAGTTCAGCCGCTCCTCAGAACAAAGATAAGGTATTCTGCATCTGTTAAAAACGTACAGCTTTTGGAAACCCTACACAGGATCACTATAAGGCAGAATTAACTTGATTCTAGTAGGTTTGGTTTATTTTCCATTGTTGTTGTTGTTGTTATGTGCCGTGGAGTTGGTTCCGACTCATAACGACCCTGTACAGGGTTTCCGAGGCTGTAAATCTTTATGGGAGCAGAAAGCCTCATCTTTCTCCCACAGAACAGCTGGTAGTTTCGAACTGCTGACCTTGCGGCTCGCAGCCCAATTCGTAACCACTACACTACCAGGTCTTTCTAAATCAAACAGAAGAAAACTCTTTTATGACTATATTACTCTACTTACCAAAAATGAAAGTAAATTCTAATATTGTCGTATTCCGTCAAATGAGAGGGAAAGGTAAGTAGGATGATATGAGAATGAACTTTTCTATTCTCCCTGAAGACTTAAAAGACAATGTAGACAGACGGAGTAGATACAAAATCATTTATCTGACTAATATCACATTAATGTGTTAGGACAGCAGCCTTTACAGGGGAACCTCACATGCTCACTAGGGAATATGATGGCTCTATAGAGTAAGCACTGGACTATGAACCACAAGGAGTCCTGGTGTACCATTTTAGGATAATCAATGGACTGCCAACCACAAAGTCAGCAGTTCAAACCTACCAGCCACTCCTTGGAAACCCTACACAGGGTCGCTGTGAGTCAGAACTGACTCAATGGCACTTAACAACAAAAACAACAACAAACCACAAGGTCAGTGGTTCTAGCCCCCCAGCTGCTTCCAAGGATAAAGATAAGGCTTTCAGCTCTCACAAAGGTTTAGAGCCTCAGAAACCCTTTGTTGTTGTTAAGTGCTATTGAGCCAGTTTGACTCATAGAGCCCCTGTATTGGATACTAGAATTCAATGTTGTAGGTAAACTATAAGGAGCCCTGGTAGCACAGTGGTTAAGCATTGGGCTAGTAAGTGAAAGGTCAGTGGTTGGGAACCACCAGCCACTTGACAAGATTTACAGTCTCAGAAACTACATACAGTAGTTCTACTCTGCCCTACAGGGACACCGTGAGGGTCAAAATCAACTTGAGAGCAGAGAGTATGGGGGTTTTAAATACGTAAAATATCTAGAATAGAGGTGACAAAGTAGACCGTTTAATAAAACACTCATCTGAAATTTTGGTTTCTAAAATAATATGTTCACCCATAGATCAATATTTTGTTATAATATTTTAGAGCCAAGATGAGGCATTATTAATATATATATAAACATCCCAACTTTACAATAAAAGTATTTCATGTAATTTATACAAGGGGGCTTAAAAAGTTTGTGGAAAATGGAGTTGAAGATGATGGAATTTTTTCATGAAGCCCCTTATATAAGCTTCATAGCCTCCCAATGTAATTATTTTTAGTGGCTACTCAACTTTATTTTGAAATACAATTATTTCTGAAAGAAGAAAATCCATAAATATTCTCCTCTTTATTCTCAGCTTTTCTAAATTAAACCAAAGACCAAAAAATCAAGTATAGTTTCCAAAATAAGTTTTTGGTAAATAAAATTTATTCACCCAATTTTACTTTAGGCAACTTTTTATAAAACTTTAGTATGATCTAGGTACAGATTATCAGTAAGAATTAAAGTATAATCTTTAGTTCTGGGGAGAAAAAGTTTTGGGTGCCATAAATAGCATATTTTCAAAATTTTTGTGTTGACTAATATAACTTTACATATGATATAATGATCGTCACAATCAAATGGATTGGAAAATATACACATCTCTGCTCTAGCACATAATTTTGTATAAGGATTATCTTTCAGTTTATGCCAAATCAAAGAATATGGGCAGTGCAACAGAACTATTTTTACCACGGAAAGGTGGATACAGTTAGATTCATTCTTAAAAAGGAACAAGTCACAGCTATTAAATAATTCCTTCTTGCTGTTAAGTGCCGTCGAGTCGGTTCCGACCCATAGCGACCCTGAACAGAGTTTCCGAGGCTGTAAATCTTTACGGGAGCAGAAAGGCTCTTCTTTCTCCCGTGGAGCAGCTGGCTTATCAAAAATTAAATCTTGGACCTAATTTCACAGGAATTTCTAAATATTAAGCAATTTACATAAGTTATCTTCTCTTTTTGTTTAGAAACAAGACATGTCATTCCAATTTAATAATGATAAGGTAATGAAAGAGAGTGAAGCTTCAAATCAGATGCAGTATTCTGATGGAGCCTACCTGTTGTCTGTTTCCATGATTTCATTGGTCATTGTAAACAAGAGAATTTAACCTAGCTAAAATATTCATGGGGAAAAGAGAATAAAACATGGCAAATATGTTTCCAAAGAAGTGATGTCTCACTGCACAAGTTAAATATGAGTTTCCAGCTCAGTAAACCTCTTATGCAAAAACAATATACATATAACATTTTTTAAAACTCAAACTCATTATTTATATTGTGTAATACATAAGTCAAAATAAAATAGAGATCTGGAGTATTTATTATATTATATTTATCTAAAAATATACAAATTATCAAAAAAATAAAATCGCCAACCCAAATCATATTAACTTTAAATCTTAACTAAGTAGATTTCCTTAACAGCTCACCATAACAAAGAAAAAATCTCCTTGTAAACAAGTATAAATATATATAGGACTATAAACTGTGGTGCTGTGGG